GAGAGAGAGAGAGAGAGAGAGAGAGAGAGAGCGCGCGAGCGAGAGAGAGGGGGGAGAGGGGGGAGAGGGGAGGGGCTGCGACAACGTTGAGATGTCGTCACACCCTTACAGCACGAACATAACACGTATATGCGACGCAGCTCCACAACATAACATAACATAACATAACAGGACACACATAACAGACATATCTCTGGCAATTATATCAGAAGTAGATAATAGGGAAATTACCCTATTAGTATTATCTACTTCTGATTATATGCAGTTATGAATAGCGTATACATGGGTTTTTGTCTATACAGATAGAGCAGCAACACTATAAGAGCATTACGTGTTAAACTTACTAGGCCACAAACGCTGGCTGAGAATAGTAAACATTTCTGTTGCAAATTTTTTTTAACATAAAAAATTAACTGCTGACTATTAGAGCGAACAATAATAGATTATTATTATTATTATTATTATTATTATTATTCACACCTGATAATATGAATAATAATTGACGTAATAATAATTTAATCTTGTCATAAACATAGTACACACATCTTGCTTGAGGATGTGAGCCCGTATGCGTGTGTATAGTAGATACATACAGTGATATTGTAATAGTGATTGCAGATTACAATCTGGTCTACAATAATAGCATCGAGCGTGATCATGTAGGGTCAACGTATCTCCTAGCGTAAATGCTGCAATTATATTTCCCAATTTTGCGCGAGTTATTCTGTATGGATTGAATATATAATGTTCAGCCGGCGTGAAACCGGCAAGTGAAAGCCGGTGGAGGTTCGGACGAGCATCGCGCTGGTTTGCCCGTCATTTAAAACCAGTCTGACAAGTTTAAAGATGGGTGGCCAAGGGAAAGCGATGGGTGTGTGTAGCGGGGTGGTGATGGGGGAGTCAGTGGGTGGATACGTACGTGGGCGCGGGCCATTGTAGAAATTCACGTTTGCCTGGAATGCAGGTCAACAGACAGGTGAGCGGGTGTATTGGGGGTTTGTAAAACCAAAAATTTTCTTGTACGCTCCGCGCCAACCGATGGTGGTGCTCCGCTCAGATAGTCGTGCCTACAACTTTGAAAATCCTGGCTACGCCCCTGACTTCTTTTGTTTTTTTTTACAATTTTTTGCAACTCGTTACTTAACATAAATGAATGATATGTACAGTATTAATAATATCAATATATGCATACATTAATGTTTATGGAAAACGAGTCGGTGGTGAGGGAATCTTTTTTTACACATAGTATACCATGAATAACATCATGCTAAAAATGTTCGTATTTAACATTCATGGTGTCATTCTAGGCAACAATAAATTGTATTGCATACAATAACCCCACCCCCCACGCACACACACACAGGAGTTCAATACAATACCACAAGAGTTCAATATTGCGACCAAACGTATCAGACATCACTATACGATCATAACATTAAATGCCATAAATGTGTGCACTGTAACGATAGCACCATACCTAATATTTCAGTCGATTCAGTTACAATCAATAGAAAAACCTTCATCAGTTCAATACAACCCCCAACCACAATGACAGGTGTTTTCCAGAGCAAGATGTCACCTAGTCACCTACCTATAAACCCTATGCGGTGCGCAAATGCGGAAGCGATGGCGTAGAAATTTTTAACATTTTTATGCAAACCGTTTACGCGCAAGGTAATCGGAGGGTGATGAGACATAATCAATGGATGCCTATTCCAACTATCCCCTCGCGATGTTTATCGGCTCTCCTCTGGGAATTTTCCCGCATGATTACGTGGGTAATGACATGACTAGGGGAAGGAAGCATCGAGATAGAGATGGGCGGGCATCGTACGCGCAGGCGGTGCCGACAGCGGGACAGCGAGCACGGCGAGCAGTGCAAACAGCTACAGGCGATATCCACAGTTCTAAGAGAGAGAGAGAGAGAGAGGAGAGAGAGAGAGAGAGAGAGAGAGAGAGAGAGAGAGAGAGAGAGAGAGAGAGAGAGTGCTAGAGAGAGAGAGACAGCGCGATAGAGAGAGAGA